CTGTAATGGCCATCCCCTCTTCCTTCGTGTGGTGAATTCCTACACCTTTCAACATACAGCTCAAATTCCTCAGCTTTCCTCCAGATTCTTACTTATCCCATTCCTATACTCTTCTGTTGGCATTATGCGTTTAACCCACTTACCACTTTGTAATGTTATTTGGTAAGGCGTTTGTCCAACCACACTGTGGAATCCCAAAGAATGGGGACCAAGTCTTATTTATCTTTTTTATTGTATTATCTTACAGAGTATGTGCTCCCAAAATGCTCATTGAATTACTGGGATAATATTTGACAAACATATCCTATATCCTACACTCCAAAAAAACTCATATAAATGAATTCAAGGGTAAGTAAGCAACTCATCCAGATTAACTGCAAATTAGGCAGGAGTAGAAATATGAATGAACAAAAACAAACACCTCCTAAATTCCTGCTGCTCTATCCTGAATTCTATAGAATAGAGATATTCCTTCAATGGCAATTAATATTTAGTTGGTGAGGTAATCTCATTCTGAGTTGTTTCCTGCATTCGTATAACACATAAAGACATGTTCAAATTCTGGAATATGTGTCATTAAGAATTAAAAAGTTGAGTCATTTTATACATTTTAAAACAAATCCTTACAGCTAAGGGAAATTCTTGTCCTTTTACACTACAATCACATGATTTCATTATTCATTAGTTCTAAATGCAATTTAGGCTGCACACATAGCAAACATTGTCTGCCAACTGAGTAATAAACCAGAACTACTTGTTTGTCACAGAAAGAGGAAATTTTTTAAATGTATAAAGTTAACCCTAAGTGAACAAGGAGGTTGGGTAGGATTAAACTGAAGAGATAAATAAGGTACTATTCAATGTTTGAAATGCACTTTTAACACGAAAAACATTTTTTTTTAAAGTACTAACTGCCAATTTAAAACATTCACTGGTCTTTGTCTAGCTTTTCTCTTTATTACCCATAGTAGATGAAAAAGAAATAAAAAGGTCTTGGTTTCAAGTTCAAAGGCAGTGTAATTTAGAATGATCACTTTTGATTTCAAATCAAAAGACTAAATGAATTCTTAAAATTCATTAATTATTACCAAAGAGACTTAAGTATTGCTGTTGTATATACAGTTGACCACTGAACAATACAGGGGTAATGGGTGCTGACCCCTGGCACAGTCAAAAATCCACAGTAAATTTTGACTTCCCAAAAACTTTATAGCCCGTTGTTGACCAGATGCTTTACTAATAACATAAACTGCTGATTAACATATACTTTGTGTGTTACATGCATTACATACTATATTCTTACAATAAAACTAGAGAAAAGAAAATGTTAGGAAAATCCTAAGAAAGAGAAAATACATTTTATAGCACTGTAACGTATTCATTGAAAAAAACCCATGTACAGATGGACCCACAGAGTTCAAATTCCTGTTGTTCAAGGGTCAACTGTAGTTGCAAAGGTACCTATGCATGCCTGTGTGCTACATTTTTTTTTAAAATCAGTGGACCTAGAGAAGCCCCAGTGGCTTAGCGGTTTAGCACCGCCTTCAGCCCAGGGCGTGATCCTGGAGACCCAGGAGGGATCGAGTCCCACCTCAGGCTCCCTGCATGGAGCCTGCTTCTCCCTCTGCCTGTGTCTCTGCCTCTCTCTCTCTCTCAATCTCTCTCTCCCCTTCTCTAATAAATAAATAAAGTCTTTAAAAAATAAATAAATAAAATCAGTGGACCAAGACTGTCTCTAAATTTAGAATATAAGCTTCAAGAGGAAGAAATCTTTGAATACTTCATTCACTAATGTCTCCCAAGGACTTAGAATAATGCCTGGCACAGCACGGGCATTCATTATATACTTGTGAATATTCCTCAAAGCAGTCCAAATACTGTATCAGTATATGCAATGAGCTATATAGATCCTCAAGGAACATAAAGTTGCAGTGGCCTTCGCACAATGTTGCACAAATCAATTGATACTATATCCAAAAGCAAACTGACAATGTATATAATAAAACAAAACATTTTACACAGGAGTCCTTAAGGTTCTGAACTTTAAAGCTTGCCAAGAAGCTAGCAAAAAACAAAAATGTCACCAACACAACCAAAATTTTCAACAAGCACAAACTCTTGCACTTATTTCATAGACAATTCCATTCCAAAAGAGCCATGGGGCTTCAACAACAAAAGTATAAGAATTTCTCTTAAACACCAATCATTTACTACAAAATTTAATTTCCAGTATTACAAAGCAGGCCTGACCTTTCTTTCATCAACTGGCCTAACTATGCCAAAAGAATATTGCTAAGCAATATACTTGTGAATATACCTAAAGCTGCTAATTCCGTTGCTGTTTCCCACTCAAAAATACAATGTAAATATTTATGAAACTGGTATCTTTTACTTTTTCCCTATGAAAAGCCATCATCAGCATTTAACTGAGAATTAGGGTATGTTTTAGCCCTTCTTTATGGGTTACTCTTTCGGTCCTTGTTTATCTGCTACTAACTCATTATGACCATTAGCTGATAACTGTCTACTCTCTTTTAGTCCTCAGTCCTCCCTTCTGTAGAACGAAGGACCTGGGTTAAAACAATGGTTCCCAGCTTTCTTTCTGCAACACTTTGAGAATTGGTAAAAGTTACAGGTGACCTCTCCATAACAATGCACATACACGTGTATATAACAGTTTATGAATAGCTATTTATAATAGCAAAAGATTGCAAACAACCTAAATGTCCACCAACAGATGATTAAGTAAACTGTTAAAGCCATTCAATGAAATTCCTGGCAGCTGTAAGTAGAATGAAGAAACTTTCTATATAATGATATGACAAGATTTCCACAATGTATTTTGATATGAAAAAAGCAAGTTACAGAACAGTGTATACAATATACAACCTTTTGTGTAAAAAAGATCAAAAACTAAAATAAATGTACATGAATTTTTATGTGTAAGCATAAGGAAACCGGAAGAACAAATGAGAATTTTGGTGTTAGTGGTAAATGAGTAAAAGGTAGGAGGAAGCTTTCCATTGCATACTTCCTTATATTCTTGTATGATGTGAATGAACTGTGTATTAACATTTTAAATTAAAAAATTGTATATTACTTCAAGGAGTCCAAACAACCCACTGAAACTAGAATTCCCAAACGCTGCTCAGGAATATTCTTCTATAATGATTTGACTTATAAGCCTGTAATCATATATACTCAATGATCCAACAGGAACATTTAAGGAAAAATATTTTTCATCACAGTCCTCATAAATACATAAAATAATTGGTGGATATTCAGTGATTCAATAGATCCTAATTAGGAATCTCATTTTATATAATTTTCCTTAATTACTGATACACTTTATGACAAATTTGTTCAAGGGAAAAAGTTTGTACAAATTATCGAGCCACACTCCCTCACATGGGTCAAATTTCAGACTATTTCACAAAGGAGTCCAGACATTAGAAATAAGAATAGAAATTTCTATCCTATTTGACCATATAATAGTACTCGTAGGGAAACCAGTGAAATACTTTTTTTTTTTTTAATCATAATCTCAGAATTTGAAGCAAATTAAATAGCATGAGATCCTCACACATCACCCACAAATTAGATGATATCTGGGGAGGCCTTCTTGCCTGATTTGGGCAAGAATCAGACAGAACCGGGTTTTCATCCTCAGGCAAGTTACTTAACCTCTCTGGGCCTCAGTTTCATCTGTAAAATGGAAATAAAAGTACCTATCTGATGTGAAGCTCACAAGAAATAATAAGAAATAGAGAAATAAGATGTAGAAATAAAAATAATAATAATAATAAAGTACCCTAGGGCAGTGGAAGGTGTCTGCTTGAACCAAAACAGACTTGCATTTTGGAACCTGCAGTTTCTAGAGACTACATTTCCATACACAAGCAACGCCTTCTTTTCCCTACTGAAAATAACACACTGCAGGATTCCCAACACAAGAGGCGCAAATATCTGGCCTTTCCTAATAATGCCTCCTGAAAATCTCCTCTTAAGTGAGCATTTCTTATCAAAGAGCTCTAGACGTTGTGCTGATTGGAAGGGTCTCAAAAGAGTCCTAAGTGATAACACAGTTTGGTTTTGCGGTGTTTACCGGACACTTTCTATGTCAAGCTCAGCACCAAAGAGTGACAGGCTATGGAAGGTTAAAAAAAAAAAAAAGAAAAAGAAAAAAAGAAAGGCAAAGAAGTTGAAAGCAACAGTCCTGCAACAGACTTTTAACTGCCAGGATGACAGTCGGAAACCCACACTGCCGTGGAGCTTACAAGCAGCCCCTGCCAACCAATCTCCATTTACGAAACTTTTAAACCCCATCCAAGTTTTGTTTTGTTTTGCTGGTCTCCAGCACTACTGGAGCTTATAAGATTCTGGAACCATTATATATAAATAACCGTGATTTATTGCTTCCACACTCACCATGTGCCAAGCGCTGTGCACAGGCATGCATCTTTCAAGACTTTGTGCAAACTGCACATGGGAGTTCACTCCCTCAATGCACTCGGCACGAAGTCTGAAAAGCTCCCTCCACACCCTCAAACGCAACCCGTCCCCCCAACTCCGGATACTCCACGCCCCTCACGACCCGCGCACTCGGGCCCAGCAGCCCCCTCGGGACGCGCGGCTGGACCCCGAGCTCTCCTACACGCAGCACCCAGCCGAACACTCCTCTGACCCCGCAGCGCCCCCGCAGAGTTCGGCACCCTTCTTCCCCGCGCCGTGGCAAGCCGGCCCCAACTTGCTGCGAGAACGCTAGGTTTCCCTCCAAACTTCTGACTTCCGTGCGGCGCGGATCCCCTCACGGCCCCCTCCAAATCCGAGCCGCCCGTACTTGATCCCGACGTCAAAGCCGAGAACCAGCTGCAAACCCCCAAACGAGAAGTCGGCTCGGCCGCTCGAGGACGGCCTGGGACCGTCCAAGCCCCTAACCAGGCCGGGCCGGGCGCGCTCGGCCTCGCCCCGGACCCCAGAGGGAGGACGGGAGGCTCCACCTGGCTCGGCGGCCGGCGCGCGCGGCTCCTGCTCCGGCCTGGGCCCCGCGGCGGCCGCGGCCGCGGCCGCGCCCCCGTCCCGGCGCGGGCGGCAGCGCTCCGGGTGGCCGCGGCGGGCGCGCTCGCCCTGCACCTCCGCGTCGGCCTGGCCGTCGTCGCGGGCCCGACGGCGGGCCCAAGCCGGGCCGCGGGCTCGGCAGCGCGGGCAACCCGGGCCCGCGGCGTCGGCGGCGCGCTGGGCGCAGCCTCGGCACAGCGAGTGGCCGCACGGCAGGGCCGCCGCTTCCCCCGGGGTCTCCAGGCACCCGGCGCAGCCCGACTCCTCCGGCCGCGGCGGCGGCGGCGGCGGCGGCGGCGGCGGCGGCTGCAGCGGCGGCGGCGGCGGCAACACCAGCAGTGCGGGGCCAGAGGCTGCGCCCGGGGCCCCAGTCTTGGCTGCCGCCATCTCGTCACAGCGGCCCCGTCGGCCCCGCCGACTGAGAGCTGCCGCCGCCGCCGCGGAAGAGGCCCGAGTACTCGGACCTGCCGCCGCCATCTTGTTTCCCGTGTGAAGGGAGAGTCCGTTGCGAGGGAGAAGAGTAGAGGGCGGGGCTGCGCGCGGCGGGCGGGGCTATCTACATATTTACGAGGGGGCGGGGCCCCAGGGAGCCCGGAGAAGGTTCTCCCGGGGCCTGATTGGCGGAGAGCGGGACTTCATTAATATTTATTAGTTACTTTATATGCCGTCTTCAGCCTCGCCCTCCAGTCTCTGCAATTTCCTCTTATTGAACCAGATGAAGTTGAGGACTGAGGGATTTGGAAATTCTGAGTGATATTAAACTTTATGAAGTAATCACACGTATTTATCCTGCAGTACCCTGATAACTAAGGCTAAAGTGAGCGGGGATTCTGTGAATTATCCAGAACCTTCCCTCAGTGCCTCATCCTAAGGGTAGCTGTTGTGACCAGCTCCTGCGACCAGCAGCTAACTACCAAAAATAACAGCTTCTTGTCAGTCCTCCTCTCCATCCATATCTTCCCAGAACTTCCTTCTCTTGGCTGGCAAAACCATACTTTCCAGGGTTTTTTTTCTCAACCTCTTAGCTCTGTCTCAGGCTGTTTTGAACTCTCCACCTTGTTTGGGGCCTAAATGTGGGCATTCCTTTAGGCTCTGGCCTTTGTCCTCTTCTCTCTTTGGGTGCCTCACCCTCGCCTCACACTTTCTTCCAGCTTAAACTCTCAAATTGATATCCACAGCCCAGACCTCCTGAGTCTAGCCCTGCACGTTCAGCTGCCTGCTGGAAACATTATCTTGGATGTCTCCGTTCCTCGTGCACAAAACTAAAATCACTATCTTACAAAACAGCTGATTTCCTATTCCCCTTATCCTATTAAAGGTACTATCCTCCCAGGACCTCAAGCTCTAAACCGAGTGGTCTTTACTTTTCCCTCATCCTCAGATATGTCAGTTTCTTAGTCCTGCCAGTTCTCCCACCAAAATTGACTGTTTTCCTATCTTCTCTTCTTCCTCTCAGTCCCATTGCCCAAATCATGTCTCATTATCTCTCACCTAGATTACTACAGTAGCTCCTCTAGGTTGTCCTCCTGCCCACAGCCTCTCTTCCTCCAATCCATCCTCTACAGCTCTTAGAGCTGCTTCCTAAAGGACAGCTCTGGCCATGTCATCCCTGCTGGGGCTAGTCACCAACTGAGGTGCTCAGACTGATGGCAGCCCCCTTTCTGGATGCAGAGGGTATATGATTTTAAAAAATGGCTCCCCTCTGATAGATGGTTCTACTATAGCAATAATCCCACCCTTTGCTTTCTTTGCAATAAGGTAGATACAGACCAGGAGGAATTAAACAAATGGCATTTCCTGTTGGGAATCTTTATAGAAAAGCATAAATTTTAGAGGAGAACAAAATCAAAAAAGCAATGTAATGTCACAGAAGGCACCAGAGGCCCTGGGTTTCCATGAGATTGCCCAGAAACAGTGTATGAACTAGTGGTAAGCCAGAGTGATTGGTGTAAGTCAGAGAGCAGGAAAAGGAAAGTAGATTCCCAAGACGAGAACCAGATGGCTAAAGAACAGTCAAGAATTGAAGAAGAGTCTTTGAGTAATTGAAACAAGACCGTGTGTGTACAGAGGCCCAGTCAGAATCCTAGCAAACATAGAAGTATGGCTTCAGCTGGACTGTCCTTTATCGAGGGATCCTCCTCATTTCACTCTCCAGTCGAGATTCTTTTTTTTTTTAAAGATTTTATTTATTCATGAGAGACACAGAGAGAGAGAGAGAAAGAGAAAGAGAAAGAGGCAGAGACACAGGTAGAGGGAGAAGCAGGCTCTATGCAGGGAGCCTGACATGGGACTCGATCCCGGGTCTCCAGGATCAGGCCCTGGGCTGAAGGCGGCACTAAACTGCTGAGCCCCCCGGGGCTGCCCACCAGTCAAGATTCTTGAGGATACTTTGCCCAGATTCTGACAGGGAGGCCTGTGGCCCAGAGATCAAGTGAATTACAATAAAAAATGGGCCCTTGGGGGAGCGTAGGTGGCTCAGTCAGTTAAGCAGCCAACTCTTGATTTCAGCTTGGGTCATAATCTTAGGGTCCTGGTATCAAGCCCTACATCAGGCTCCACACTCATTGGAAAATCTGCTTCAGGATTCTTTCTCTCCCTCTGCCCCTCCTCAGGCTTGCTCAAGCACACTCTCTTTCTCTCTCAAATAAAGAAATATATCTTTTAAAAAAAGAAAGAAAGAAATGGGGCCCTTGGTCTGGGCTCACTTCTGACAGTCTGGGGTTCTTAATCTGAAGCCTGTTTAGTGTTGGAAGAGTTGAACGATAGACATGCAACATGCTCTCTTGGAAACAAAGACAGGAAATTATCTTTTGCAGAGGGAAGAAAAAACAAGAGGTCTGAATAGCACTAGACCAAAAGCCAGGCGATCTGGGATTGGTCCTGGTCCCTTTACCCCTCTCATTAACTCATTGTGTGATTTCAAGCTGATAACTTCTCTGTAAACCTCAGTCTCCTCATTAAAAAAAAAAAAAAAAAAATTATTTGACAGAGGGAAAGAGAGAAAGCACAAGCAGGGGAGCAATAGAGGGAGGGAGGGAAGCAGACTCCCCACTGAGCAGGGGGCCTCACATGGGGCCCCATCCCAGGACCCTGGGGTCATGACCTGAGCCAAAGGCAGACGCTTAAACAACTGAGCCACTCAGGCACCCTCAGTCTCATTTTTAAAACAAGGGTATTGGAATTCAGCAGTTCTCAACCTGGTATGCACCTCAGAAAGGTCCACACACATGCAGCAACAACAGCAACAAAATCCCACCTCAGATCCACTGAACCCCCAAACTGAAGGTAGAATACCAACATGTGTATTTTCTTAATGCCATAGAAATTCTTATAAATCCTCCCAGATAAGACCACTACGATAGATAAATTCAGAGCTCTTTTAGCTCTAACATTCTAGAATTCTGACTCCCAATTTCTCCCAGTCTCTTCTTTCCTCTATGCCGTTGCCAGAGTAATCTTACTAAAGCAGTAGCAGGGACAGAAGGCAAGGCAAACCTAAGAAATCTGGAGAGTTATTCACTGTGTGGGAAAATGAGGGCGATGAGGATGATTCTAACGTGTCAAGTCTAGGAGCCTGAGATTATGATCACAATTGACAACTGACAAAAACAGAATACATGAAAAGGAAAAGAAAAGAAGAGGGCATGGTAGACATTTTGTTTTATTTCATTTGCCATCAGCATATCCAGTCCTTCTTACTCAGGGAAGTGCCCCCATGCTATGCAGTATTTGCAGTATTGCGAAGGATAGGGAAGCTGAAGCAAGGCGATAATTCTCCCTGCCCCCCCCCCCCCCCCCCCCCGAGTGGCTAGAATGACATATGACCCAGGCTTGGCCACCTGGCCACACCTCTCTGAACTTTGAATCTTCAGGGAATGACATGAGACATACTGACAAGTTTAGAACTATTCAGAGCAACAGAAACAGTAGGTGTCCACCCACACTGGGTCCCTGATAGTGGTTGGGAGGATGGGGTCCCAATCATAGTGATGGTGGCCATTCCAGATTCTTCTTTAGGCACAAACTGTTGTGGTGCCTGCTGCCGGGACTTCCTAGGTTACAACCCATTTTCCACACCCGACTCTCCAGCCTTCCTGTCAACTTGGTATCCTTCCAGTAAATTCTTTTTTCCTTAAATTTCTCACCATTTCTATTGTTTGCATCGAAGTTTTCTGACGGAGATATTGGTTTGTTGGTTTTGGTTTTGGTTTTGGGTTTTTTGTTTTTTTTTTTTTTAATCATGAGAAACACAGAGAGAAAGGAAGAGAAATAGGCAAAGGGAGAAGCAGGCTCTGATGTGAGACTTGATCCCAGGATCCTGGGACCATGATCCAAGCCAAAGGCAGATGCCCGACCACTGAGCCACCCAAGCGCCCCTGGTTTGTTGTTTCTGAAGTGTCACCTGAAAATGGTTGACAAGGGTGCTTTGAAAGTTACAAAACTATCTAAAATTAGTGCCATAGCCTAGAGTAGAATGAGCCAGGGTTGCGTGTGTTTATGTTTCTAAGCCCCAACCTGTACCACAGACCACCAAGAGAAGAGGGACTCACAGATTCACTTTAATGCAGTCCTCAAAGATGCCAGTTGGAACAAATAGCAGTGCAGCCTACATACCAATGCTTCCTCTCCAGCTGCTTTTGCTGTGCCACTCCTACCATATTTCCTGGGGATTGCAATTGCTGCTCAGATTCCCTGCACTCCTTCTCATAGTGTGTCCAGGGTTCCACACCAACACTAGCCTTTGAGCACTCCTCATACACATCACTGCAAACCTTCCTTTTTCCCAGCAATTAGAGGCTCTAGCTCCTCTCAGCTGGCCTGAAAGACTCAGATGTGAAGCAAGGCCATTCAGCCTAGTTCTGTGGGGACAGGTTTTTTTCTCCCCACAGGTGCAATGACCCCTTCTTACCAGCCCAGGTGCTGAGTCCCTCCTGAGACCTCACATCTAGGAAGGAGAAGGATCAGACCATCCCAGTGCCACCTCTCCCCTACCCTCCTTATCTCTTGGGATAACATCTTCTTGTATTCTTCTTCCTCCCTCAAGCCAGATTTCCCCTGGAGACTTGGCATCTTCCCTTTTGCTTTAAAGATGGCTACATTCTTACTATTACTCATCTTCAGTTACTTCCCTTTTGTTTCAGAGGAAGAAGAGATTTTTCTTCTTTTTTTAAGATTTTATTTATTTGAGGGAGAGAGAGTGAGCGAGTGAGAGAGAGAACACGGGTAGAGGGAGGGGCAGAGAGTGAGGGAGAAGCAGACTCCCCACTGAGCAGGGAGCCCGACATGATGACATGATGTGGGGCTAGGAGCTCCATCCCAGGACCCTGAAATCATGATCTGAGCCAAAGGCAGAGGCTTAAAAGGAGCCCCGAGAAGCAGTTCTTTTTCCAAAGCTACCCTAACCCCTTCTGTCATCTTCTCAGCCTCCTCCAGACTCTTTCTGAACACTCTACAAATACAAATAAGACTTGGTCTCTGTAAT